TAGGTGAAACATTTTTTGAATTCATGATGGTCCTCTAGAGCAGTGGTTCCCAACCTGGGGGGTGCGTCAAAGATGGCAGGGGGGGTGCCAGGCCTCAGATTATTTGAGGCCAAATATCATATTTAGACTTTGAATACATATAATTGTAACGCAATACACGATTGTCACTAAAAGCCTTGTCTCTACATTATAATAAAATATAAAAAATAATTGATTAATACATTTTAATAAAAATGTANCGGGTGCAGCGAGCCGTTTGGCTGATGCAAAGCGGATTGCACGTGCTGGGGTGTACGGTTTAACCATGTCCTGGATGTAGGAAGGGCCAGATCCATTCACTGCATGGTACGCAAGTACCATTGTCTTGAAGTGGATTCTAGCAGTCACTGGAAGCCAGTGAATTGAGCGGAGGAGCGGCGTGGTGTGGGAAAATGTTGGAAGGTTGAAGACCAGACGAGCCGCTGCATTCTGGATGAGCTGCAGAGGTCGGATGGCACATGCAGGTAGACCAGCCAGGAGGGAGTTGCAGTAGTCTAGGCGTGATATGACTAGAGCCTGGACCAAAAGTTGTGTCGCTTTCTGGGTCAGCTGGGGACGTATCCTCCTGATATTGTAAAGAGTGTATCTGCAGCAGCGATGTTTGCAGTGAAGGACAGTTTGTTATCTAGGGTCACACCCAGATTCCTTGCAGTCTGAGTCGGGGAGTCCTTCACTGCAAACATCGCTGCTGCAGATACACTCTTTACAATATCAGNCCCCGGCCGGAAGTCCCCGGAGTTGGGGACTGGCTTCAGTAGAAGCTGCTGGGAAGCCTTCCGAGTAAATCGCCAGAACGCCGACACCTCCTCATCTCCACCGCTCCCATGTTTTATTTTGTGTTGCCATAAATTAGTCTCTCTGCGTTTCTGCACTGGGCTAATGCTAAGATAATAAAAATGGTGGCTTCACAACACTTTTTTGAGTTTTACGGGGCGTGGTTTGCAATCCGCCCAGCCAATCAGAAATATAGCTCTTTTCTCACAAGAGAGCCACATGAGAGTCACTGCTCTCTAGCAGGGACGGAAAAGGGGGTAAAAAGGTTCTCATGAACTAATTTTAGTTCCAGCTCTTTTTAGTGTGAACGCGACATTTCGGAACTATATCGGAACTAAAGTGGGAAAAGTACTCGGTCTGAACGCGGCTAAGTTCTCAATGCAATTTCAATGACACCGGTCCGTGGGCCAAGTATGAAACAGCAACAGGAACCAAGAGGAAACATTGATTTCAGGGTAAACAAGACTTTGTTTTTAAGTGCAGATGATAATCAGGCATTACAATGTAAACAACAATGAACAGCAAAACAAAGCATACTGTCTCTTCTCTCTGTATTGCACAACTCCTACTACATTTTACATCTCTGAATTCCTGATTATCACATGCCTTCTGCATTTTATTTAAATTGTGCTGCTCATATTGGTAATGTTACTGACTCCAACATTTTAGTGACTGACTTCTATGGATAAAATCTGTATTGCAATTATATAGAATAAGTGTATTGAACGGGCTTAAACAGATATTACTAAACGTACAGAATAAAACTTATTTCAAAATGAAATACATAGATCATACACATCCCAACAAATCATACATTTCTTAACCAGCTGTAAAGGGTCACCTTCAAATGGAGGCCGAAGCTTTAAAATGGTGACTTAAAGAAAAAAGATTTCTGCTTACATTTTAAACAGTTGGCATGTGAGGAGCGGCTTGCTTTTAAACTCTTAAATACAAGCAGTGTCGAGTTATTTACAGCTTATACGGAATAAACCAAATCTAGAAGTGTTTTGTGGAGACCAGTTGTGACAAAGAGACGTCACATGTTTCAGACATTAAAGTGAGACTAATCAGCAGCGGCTACAGGAGCTCCTTAAGCATAATTTAATGCCATCCATTGACACAGGCGTCTTAAGCTTTGTGACAGAGACCAGTTAAACATAGGTCATAGGAAGATTAACTTAAACAGTAGGAAGTTGCTGAAAACAAAGTCTAAAAAAATAAAGTTTTGTTAATTCTCTGCATTTATAGTTTCTTTTTTTCTGCACTTTTGGTTCAACCTTCCCCACTTCAAACACAATTCATATATTCAAAGAAAAGTAACCATGAAAGCGCTATGTACATGCAAAGCCCACTTGGGTCTGCTCGGTTCAGCCAGCCAGGAACTTGGTAGTTGTGTTTGTGAGCAAATAGGTCAGTCATGATGCACTGCGAGGATGGGCTGCCTGCAGATGGGGCAGGTGTTGTTTTCAGAGAGCCAGCGGTCGATGCAGTGGATGTGAAACTCATGGGAGCAGGGCAGGCGCCGCAGCTTGTTGCCCTGGGCATACTCATTGATGCAAACACTGCACGCTCTACCTATCTCCCCCTCCAGGTTGGCCTGACCATAGGTGCGTGTGACTAGATTGTCAATCTGCTCTTTGGTCAGGCCCCTAGGATGTTCGTCATCCTCCTCGTCATTGAGCAAGAAGAAGTGCGCCAGCCTCAGGATGGGTAGAGTACCGTTTTCTACCAGGTTGTTGGTGTCTCTGCTGGTCGCTCGTCCCTCTGTGGGGCTCACTACCGCTGCTCCCAGCCTGGCCTGCCCACCCTGTTCCTCCTCACTTCCCACCTGCCCCACCCTTTCCTGATCCACCCCACCTGTACCAACCTGGCCAGCTACGCTCTCATTCGTATGTAAACGAGTAGCTGGACCGGTGCTACTATTGGTAACACTAGCGTCTGCATGGCTAGGTGCAACAGTTTCAGAATCTGCCTCCGTCTCCATTAGGGAACTCAGCTCACCAAATCCGGTCATGATCTGGCGCAGGATGGAGCGCAGGGCGGTGGAGTTGGGCTCCCCCAGGCCAGTCTCACTGATGCGCCTCAGAGGAATCCGGATAGTGCTCACATAGGTGCGGATCCCCGCTCGCTCTGAGCGGGAGATGGTGCGCCTGAATCCACCACTGTCACTCTCAAATGTGACGGTATTCTCAGCCACCCTGGCGCGGGAACGCGTTCTGCTGGCGATGCTGTCCCGATCGCGGTTTTCACCAGGTCGGATCCTTCTAACCTGCAGGTCCAACATGATGGTGGGGTGACGCCGCACCGCTGAACTTCCAGCTCCCGCTGCATGCGATTCACTTTCACGTTCTCCTGTCTCTGCAGCTGGCTCAGATAGAACTGCAGGTTCTGCCACGGTCTCCACGGAAACAGAGCTTGTGCCACTGCCTGGCTCAGCAGTGTGGATGTTGGAGCCACCGACTCCACTGCTTAATGGTGGAGTGTTACCGGCAACAGGTATTATATGCATGGGGGAACGGCTGTGCCTCGAAAAGCGTCGAATTATCCCGCTCCCTGCTGCAGCTCTACGTGCACGGCCACGTGAACGAGTCCTACTGCCACGGGATTCGTGTCCATCTGCTGGAGACCCTGTCAGCGGTGACACACGGGGACAGTCTATAGAAGCAGACATACCATCACTGGCCTGCTCTACCCCTGCATTCACCCCTTGATGTTGCAAATGAGTAGTTTGATCAATAGGAGGGTTGGGAACACTAGGGGGAGGGGCTAAAGAGTGCAAAGTGGCACTTCTCCTCTGAGCAGCCGCTGGGGGGGCAGCTGGTGCAGGAAGTGAAGAGGGAATCATGGAAAGAGTGGTAGTGCTGCTGCGTGTACGGCGTGTCTGCATCCTCCGACTGAGGGCTGGGCGGGGGTTGCTGTACGGGACTAGCCTAGGTGTGGATAAAGGGCGAAAGTGAGAGAAAGTAGAAGCAGTGCGTATGGAGGGTGAGGTTGTGTTTGGGGCAGTCACTGGCAGCTCTGAAGAGTCCGTAGCATCATTATGCTCCCCCGGCTCTGGCTGATCATGGTTAATGTTGATCTCCAGGCTAAAGCGGAATTCTCCACTGTTAGGGTTGGTCCGGCTGACGGCACGCCATGTCTGGTTGCCACTCTGCCCACTGCGAGTAGCATTACCAGTGCGTCTGAAAGTGTTAAGCCACTCCAGTAATGAGTCACCGTTAGACGTTTCTGCTCCAGGCTCTGTGCCCCCTGTAAAAAAATACATATGGGTAAGACTGTAAACAAAACATCCGAAAATCAGTTCTCCTGTATTGGGAAACCCTTACAGAAATATTGATTTCAAATCTTTCAACATTATGCAAGATTATTATGAGATGTTTGTTGGCTTCTTTGTTAATCAATGATGATAAAACTCAAGTCATATTGGATTAATAATAGGGAACGCAAGATAACAAAGATCAGATAAAGCTAAATTCCTCCTCCCTACCTGCTCCTCGTCTCCCTCCAGGCCCTCTCTCCTCTCTGTCCCCGCTGCTGCCTTGCTGCTCTCCAGCATCAGCAGTCTGCGGACGCTGCTCAGTGAGGGGCTGAGACGACATGCGCTCTTTTGCGCCATCAAGACGGTGCCGAAGCTCCTCAGCAGTCACCTCCCCTGTGAAACATATGAACATGCGGGCTGTCAACAGCAAAGGGCCAAGAATAACTGTCCTATTGTGAGAGCGGATTATGATATCAAACAGTCACATATTGAATTATTTGTTATCTGCTGTTGCTGATGTAATCTAACATGACATAACAACATGTGTCTCTCCTCACCAGGTGTGCCCAGCAGGTTGCTGTCTCTCATTAGGCGGTACTCCTCTTCATTCAAGTCATTAATGAAGTGATAGTATGCCTCCTCCCGACGAAGACGTTCTGCTTGTCTACGCCGTTCATCTCCCCCACCAGGAGGGTCCATCACCGTGAAAAGTGCTGGCAGACAGAAGGGATTGTCAGTAAGGCCTGGAATGTTCACTATAATATTCCACATAGCATCATAAAATAAGGGCTGAATTCACATGTTAAGCCTCTGCAATTCCACTGAGGAAGTGGGCATGCTCCTATGTCATTATAATATATTGTTGAGGCAAAATACTATTTGGGTCTCTTTTGGAAAGATAAAGAATATAACGTTTATCTGAGTTCTATATCGTTCACCTTGTTAACTAAATATTATAGCTAACATTGAACGCAGATAGGCGTTGTTTTAATAACTTAGCCATTCTATTATTCACTCCTGACTAATTTCTAGCCGAGGACGACATCCATTTTCTATCGAAAGACTCCACCAGCAAGGGAGCGAGGAAGGCTACAGTAATCTTGCTAATGTTTAGCACGAACAAAGTAGTATGTGGATAAATACTCCTTCATTCACTGTAAGGAACAGCCAATAAAGTTCCATTCAACAACGTAGTCTTCATGAGAGCTAATGTTAGCCAAGTTACAACAGCAGCTACGGAAGGCCATGTTGAAAGCAGGGGAATAAAGCAACAAAACTGGCGTTGTCATCCTGGTTAGCCACCAATCACAGGCCTAGTGTTAATGACGGACAGGCTCAGCGTCCAATCACTGCTCTGCTAAGGCGGGCCACGATAAAACTAAACGGAGGTCTCGTCCAAGTAAACGCAGGGCAAAGAAGACAAAGAATGTAGTCAGCTGTATGACATAAATAGAAATCAAAACGGCCATGCCTGGCCATGACAAACTACGCAAAGACAACAGCCAGTTTTGTAGACACTTCCACATTTCAGACGTTTAAATGCGCAACGGTTAAGATGCTAAACGAATGTAGCATTTTAGCTCATCTAACGTTAGCGGATAGCAGAATAACTCCTAAGATATAAATGTGACAAACTGTTTTATGAACAAGTCAATGTAAACGGAGCATAACACTCAACCATAGCATTGTTTTAGAAGAGATGTCAATGATGTAAAAAATAATTTACTACCTGACAAAGCAGCGATAATATGGACGGTTTGCTTTGCTGTCCCTTCTCTTTCAACCAAGATGGGACCAGTGGTGCTACACTAAAAACGTCCGTCAAACCCAACCTCCCTGGGTAGATTGGTTCCTATGTAACGCAGCAACTGCTAAACATGTCTCATCTTGTTTTGTTAAAAAAAATGGGTACACGGATTGTAACAACAATGACTAGAAGTATTATATAAAATACAGTTACTTTTTTTGTCAACCTGGAAGTTACTTTTTGTAAATTGCCATTTCTGTTTTTATCTTTAATATTTTATGTATGCCTCTTGATTAATATGTTGCTATGTTAGGCTCTTAACTTTTGCTATTTTAATGGAAATCCCCCCCTCGGACGGATAAAGTTGTTTATGATGTGATTCTGATAAACACCTTCTTTAGCTCTTTCTCTGCTGCGTTTGCAGGGTTTGTCTTCACGACAGTTTTGCGACAGTGCCGTACAGAGTGAAGTCTCTCCAGATACCGGCTGAGGGAAACGCAGCAACAAGAGAAACGAAAACATTTCAGTCTCGTTTTTTCCAACTTGGATTCTAACCGAACACCGTGCATCCCCTCCGGTAGGAACAATTTCACCGGAAAACTCCATGCTGAAGCTGGGCTGGGGACGAGAGAAATCTACTGAACCGAGCTCGCTGTTGTAGCCTAGTTGCCTCCCAGAAGCGACGCTTTAAAAAGGGAAGGAGAATACACATTTTGCACAAACTGTGGGGAAAATGGACTATGATTTTAAAGTGAAGCTGACCGGTGAAAGAGAGCGCGTCGAGGACCTGTTTGAGTACGAGGGCTGCAAAGTGGGAAGAGGCACCTACGGTCATGTTTACAAGGCGAAGAGAAAAGATGGGTGAGTGGAAGAGCAGGCCTCTACCCCCCCCCTTCTCCTAAATACAGTTAATGTCTGCTATATTCCTCGTATGCAATATATAAAGATATATGGGGATATTTATGGAGAGGGCAATAACCCTTTACTTGTACATTGGTCTTGCATCACAATCGTGCACAATTTCATTCCTATCCAGTTTCTTCGTGCACTGTTTTTATTGTTGTTGTTTTTTTCAACATTGAATTACTACTATTTTCCTCGTATGTAATATTTAAATAAATAAAGGGACATTTAATGCAATAACCCTTTTTAGTTTTTGGATGCTAATGAGTCCTTTTGTGCATAAAAACACAAACATATGCTTCACTATTGTGATCTTTCCTTTTCAGTGATTCAAGACTCAATTCAAGATTAAAAGGCCTTATTGTCATATACACAGCAATGAAGTCCGAGCGTCCTCCAACAATGCTACATAAATAGTGAAAGAAATAACAGAATATAAATAAATGGTCTTTTTCAAAGTAAATATCTTTACACTTAAACTCACATTCACTATCACGCAGTTTTAAAGAAGCAAACTTAAACTGGTTCTCATTATGCATTGCTAAATCTCGAAATAAACGTAGAAGAATTTGTTGTCAAAACCTCTGCTGCATTTCACTTGGCGGTGTATCAGAACTGAGTTAAAGAGTCATTCTCTGCCACAGAGCTGCGGGTTAGGAAACACATGCTACAAACATTAGCCTCATCTTCCCTGTAGCATAAACTTATATTTGTGACCATGAAATATGGAAAATCTCACAAAATGTACGCAGAAACACTCAAGGAACCCTCTCCATCCATCCATCCATCTTCTCCCGCTTATCCGTGGTCGGGTCGCGGAGGTATCAGTTCCAGCAGAGAGCCCCAAACTTTCTTTTCCCTGGCCACATCAACCAGCTCTGACTGGGGGATCCCAAGGCGCTCCCAGGCCAGAGAAGAGATATAATCCCTCCACCTGGTCCTAGGTCTACCCCTTGGTCTCTTCCCAGCTGGACGTGCCTGGAACACCTCCCTAGCGAGGCGCCCAGGTGGCATCCTAACTAGGTGCCCGAACCACCTCAACTGGCTCCCTGGAACCCTCTCCATCCGCCATATTCATCCAAATGCATTTAATATCTATATTTTATGCAATATATAAAGGAATAAGGGGGCGACTTAATGCAATTAACCTATTGTCTGGATGCTTATGAAGCTTGTTGTGTATAGCATATGCTTCACTATTGTGATTGTGGCTTCCCTTTTCTGTGATTCAAGATTCAATTCAAAGATTCAAACGCTTTATTTGCATATGCACAGTAGCTTCAGTTATGGCAATGCAAATCTGAATCTTAAGACCCAGCCTCCTCCAACAATGCAACATAAGTATAGATAAGAAATAAAGCAAATAAGTGATGGTTATGAAGCATCTCTTTTGACCTGTTCCTTCACACAATCATAGGCAATATTTGAAATAGTCAATCAGAGCATTTGCGGTTGATGTGGTGAATTTAGGATGCAGCCGGTGCATGTAGAGGCACTTTTTAACATTGTCAAGTGGCCCTTTTGTGCCCATAACCTTCGTCTATATTCATTCCTTTTTGTGGAAAGTCCCTGGCTGCACTCAAACTTTCTAAACTCAGTGGTTCATGATCAGCACCTTAAACCTTAAGAAAACAAGCCGTATAAACCGTCTTAACTGTGTCTGGATCAGAGCTGGACTAGGCCCATTTCCATAGCTCGAGCACACAGAAGAGCCCCAAAGTGTTTAAAGATGTGAGTGTTGGCTTTAGGAGGCTGCTGCTTATGAGACTCTGTGAGCTGCAGCATTTGGATGGAGCCAGAGGAAGCACAAAGCATAAGATGATTTAGGCCAGGAGGAGGGAGGGGTTATAAGATTGTCCCACTCTTGACCTAACAATCAACATCGGCACCTCTGTTGTTTCCCCGACTCAGACTGCAAGGAATCTGGGTGTGACCCTAGATAACAAACTGTCCTTCACTGCAAACATAGCTGCTACAACCCGCTGCTGCAGATACACTCTTTACAACATTAGGAGGATACGTCCCCAGCTGACCCAGAAATCAGCGCAGGTTCTGGTCCAGGCTCTCGTCATCTCACGCCTAGACTACTGCAACTCCCTCCTGGCTGGTCTACCTGCATGTGCCATCCGACCTCTGCAGCTCATCCAGAATGCAGCGGCTCGTCTGGTCTTCAACCTTCCTAAATTCTCCCACACCACGCCGCTCCTCCGCTCCCTTCACTGGCTTCCAGTAACTGCTAGAATCAACTTCAAGACACTGGTACTTGCGTACCATGCTGTGAATGGATCTGGCCCTTCCTACATCCAGGACATGGTTAAACTGTACACCCCAGCACGTGCACTCCGCTCTGCATCAGCCAAACAGCTCGCTGCACCCGCACTGCGAGGGGGACCCA